TCTTTATAGAGCCTGTCCTTATAAGCAGGTCTCGACTGAAGCATTTATTAAATAAATATTGCAGCCTCAAGTTTTTCTATCTTATCATACCTTAAAACTGTGACCTCCATGCAAAAGGTAACCGATAGGCTGAATTCCTCATAACCAATCAAATAAAATCTACTGTGCATTCATTTACCGTATATTTAATGAGTATTGAGTGAATACCAGGCATCAATCTGGGCCCTGGGATATATTTAAGAGGAATAAAACATAGTGTGCATTTGAAAAGGTTATTACATTCCATTGAAGGAGATTGACTTGTAACCCAGTAATTAGTATAGTAGGATAATATCATAGAAGAGGCATGTGTACAATTCTGCTGAAACACAGAGAAAGAAATGACTCACTTTGGACAAGTGCAACAAAGCTTCACTGAATAGTGACAATTTAGGAACCACAGATATAAATGGGAAATGAACTATAAACGGTATCTCAGCGGCTAAGGTATCTCAGTGCCAGGGGCACTGCTAGCTGGGCACACATCCTGTGTAGGGCAGCCAGAACCTACGGGCAGGCATACGGCGTGCTTAGGGCACCGTGCTCCGTAGAATAGGCATGCATGCAGAGGGAGTGGAAGACACAGCTGGAAGGTTCAGGAGGGTCCAGTTTATGAGGGACCTGAATGTTGTCCTGTTGTTGACAGAAGCTATCCTACCCAGCCTCTGGGCCCTTTTCTGATTGGCAACACCAAAGTTGATATTAAAAGTATTTAATAAGTAGCCCAGTCACAATGGCCACAGCAGTGCTGAAGACCATGTGGAAGATGGAGGTTTGGTTCCCAGGTCAATTTGTACATGCCAGACTCACCTGTTACATGCCCATGCCTGTGATCTTGGTGACTAAAAGTCTTGGAGTAGGGGTATTGTGGTACGAGAGTTCTGGAGTGTGAGACCTCTTGAGGGTTCTTATTTCTCTGTGTGTGTGTGTCCCTCTCTCTTTCAGGAAGGAAATAAATATATTTTTTAAAATGCATTTAACGGGCCAGCAGGTGGCATGGTGGTTAAGACACTGTACTCTCACATTGTCAACTGCGGTTTGAGATCTGGACCTGATCATTTGCTTTCTCACCTTCTCTCTCCTCTGCCCCCCTCTCTCTCTTTCTGGTGAACACACGTGCTCTATAGCAAAACTTAAAATAATAACAACAATAATAAATAAAATAAATAAATAATTAAAAAATATATATTCAACAATGGCACAGATCCAGATCTGTCTGAAGGAGGAGGACCTAAATCCACCTCTGGGCCATTCCTTTTGCTGTCTGGAACATGGTGTCCTCCAGGGGTCCTAGAGATGAAGCCAGACTAGCAAGGAAATAGCAAAGTTGGGCATATTTTCTTATTCTATCAACTATGCAGCTGAGTTCCATTCAGCCAGTTCTCTAAACACCTGAGACACGGGGCAATGGCCTTGTCTCCTGTCCATCCTTGTCTCCTGGACAAAGATGATGTTATCCCCTAAAGATGTCATTAAGCGCCCTTTCCTTTCTCCACTGCCAGCTTGAACTCTCTAAAAAGCAAAACTGATCATTCCACTGTCCTGATTTAAACTTCATGAGATGAACTCCAAGGTCCTTACCCTGGCCCAGGGGACTTTGGTAGTCGGGCCCTTGTTTTTGTAGCCTCATTTTTCATTATCATCCCCCTGGACATTTATTTCCCAGTGCAGTTTGCACAGTGCCCCCTATAGGACTCCAGCGATGGAGTGTTTTAAACGTTCCTGTGGCAGACCCCAAGTCCCCTGGCTTCCCTGAGCCTAGCTGGGAAGTTTCTGAAGGTTACCATTCCACTTTGCATCCTTCTATTGAACATTGATCCATCAGCCTGCCATAACTTCTTAGACATGAGTTTGAGGGACCAGCAGTTAGCATAATGGTTATGTTGCTGGACTCCCATATAGTCGACCGCAGTTCGTGTCCCAGACCCGGTGGCTTAAAACTCACACTGGGCGCATGTGCGTGCGTGCCCAAGATCCCATGAGGAGAACAGAGGAGAAGAGATTAGGATTGTGGCGTGGCCATCCCCCCTGGGGGGTGATTTCTCGCTTTCTGTCTCTCTGTCTCTCTGGCGAGTGCATGCGCCCTATAGCAAAAACCTCCCCCCCCAAAAAAAGAAAAAAGAAATGAGTTTGGATGTTTTGTTTGATCGTATGTGTAGGTAACAACTTTTGTTCATCTCCGGAGTGATTGAGGCTAAGAGAGGAGCAGTGATAGACACTGTCGATGACGACAGTCAACAATCAAAGAGTGGTTGAATAAACAAATGACAGATTTCATGTGTGCCAAGGGTTGATTTGTCACTGAGATCTTTGCATCCACATCTTTAGTTATAATGTAGTGCCAGAAGCTTATCCTAAATATGACTGGTATTCTTGCATAACATATATAAAATATAAATGAGTTGAGTATAAGTAAAGCCACTCAAGAGATGTTTATAAAGCATAAGCAGTGTGCCTGGCAGAGTTAATAAAATAGAAATGGGCTCTACCCTCACAAAGCTTATGGTCTTGCATAATAAATAAGGGAAATTTCCTTCATTTCTGCTTCTTACCCATTTAGTCCAAGTCATTGTTCCTTCTTACCTGAACCACACAGTAAACACCAGGTCCTTCCTTCAACCTACCACACAGTAGCCAAAGAAGCTTTGAAAAATCTTGTTCATACCTTGGGTCTCTCCTTTGTGAGCCCATTCATAACTTCACACTGTAGGACAGAAAACCCAATTCCTTTTTTTATGGCCTTAGGACACATGTGACTGCTGGAGAGAGACAGTGAGAAGTAGCACCCTGGGGGAGGGGCCTGGCCATGCTCCAGTCCCTTCTCCTCCATTCTCCTCCTGGGATTTTGAACAGACATGCACACATGACTTGTGTGATTTTTTAAGCCACTGGGTCTGGGACATGAACTGCAGTTGGCCATGTGGGAGTCCAGTGCTTTAACCACCACGCCACCTGCTGGTCCCCAGAAATCTTAATTTCTTTTCATGGTCTCCAAGGCCAAGGATGATCAGGCCCCTGTCAATGGCTGCAGTCACAAATCATACCACCACATACTGCGCGCCTGCAGCTCCCACCACAAGGGCAGGCTTCAGCCCTCTGAAGAGCTCCACTCCATCCCTTCTCAGGCACTTGGCTCGCTCTGTGCTCACTCTCCCTGGGCATGGTTGCCCTTTAGATCTATCTGAAGTTGATCCCCACCACTGCCTCTGCAGCTACTCTTTACTGCAAAGCTCTTCCTCGCACTTAACATGAATTGTAATGATCACTGAATTTTTAGGGGAGAAAAATTGTCTGAAAATAAAACTTTCTTGTGCAATTTAGAACTGAAAGGAAAGGATTGGATCTTGAGGTGGCAATGCAGATATTCCTCCTTCTTCCTCGAAGGGGACGCTTAATTGAATTCTAAGGTGTGGCTGTCAAGCCATTTATAAGCAGCAAAGGCATTAATTCGCTCTACCAGTTTTGATCAGAATCAATGCCTCTGCCAAAAATATTTAAGTCCCATGGTGAAATAAATATTTTTTAAAATTAGGATGTCTTAACAAATGCCTACGTGAAGTTAGCCATAGGAACAGTTATCTGAATCTGAGTTATTCAGAATAAGCATCTCTCTGCAGAAGCGCTGAGGTGAAGAGCAAATATGAAGAGTAACAACAACAGGGAACCAGCAGTTAGCGTAATGGCTATGTCGCTGGACTCCCACGTAGTTGACCGCGGTTCGCGTCCCGGACCCAGTGGCTGAAATCTCACGCCGGGCGCGTGTGCGTGCGTGCCAAAGATCCCGAGAGGAGAATGGAGGAGAAGGGACTGCGGCGTGACCATCCCCCCTGGGGGGTGATTTCTCGCTTTCTGTCTCTATGTCTCTCTCTGTCTGTCTGGTGAGCGCATGCGCCCTATAGTAAAAAAAAAAACCCTCCAAAAAAAAAAAAAAGAGTAACAACAACAGAAAAATCAAATGTTGGAAGAGAAGGAAATTCCAGCATCTTAGAGGAACAGCTCTGATCTAGAAGCCACCCTGTAGTTAGAAACTGAGAGAAGCAGGCTCCGTGAGTCCTCGAGATCCACGTGCGGGTGGCTGCTATTTGTGGAAAAGTAGAGGGAAGAGTTGTGAGGAAGGCCAGGAAAAGGGGCTGGCAAGTGAGGGCGTGAGAGAGAGGTGGGGCGTGGGAGGCAGAGAGCAGTGGATCCTGAGTTGTGCTGGGTCTGGGAAGGTCTAGTCAAGGACTAGAAGAGAGGGCATCCCTTCTGGCTGGTTCTGGCGGTGCTGGAGGTGAGAGGTGAATGTGTGGGCACTTGGTTGTAGTGCGATTATAGAAGACAGGGTCAGAGGCATCTGATTTCATTGGACAGCCCTTCTTTGGCAAGAAAATGATGACTTTTCTTTTCTGTGACTCCGATTACTCAAAAGGCTCTGATTTCATTTTTCAAATGTCGGCTCCATCCTTTTTTGAAGTTGTACTTTTGGCTGACAGACATATTTTCTTTTTTTGAGAGATTTTTTTTTTTTTTTTTTGCTATAGGGCATGTGAACTCCCCAGAGAGACAGAGAGAAACAGAGAGAGAGACAGAAAGCAAGAAATTACCACCCCCTTCACCCCCACATCCCCTCGGAGAGGATGGCCATCCTGCAATTCCTTCTCCTTCATTCTCCTCTCAGGATATTGGTCACACATGAACATGTACCTAGTGTGAGTTTAAGCTGCAAGGTCCAGGACCTGAACCATGGTCTACTACATGGGATGTGGCGGATATAACCATTAGGCCATCTGCTCGTGCCCCAGAAATAATTTTTTTTAGGAGGTGAGGTTACATTTCTCCTGAGGGGTACACATGTGCATAGCAATTTAGGAAACAAGGAGCCAGCCAACATCCTCCTTGTGAATTCTAAAACCTTTGAAAGAAAAATGTTGACCAGCTCTGTCTATAGTAGGCTATTCACTGATCTTACTGTTTACTTGTAGTCTGTCATGAGTCCTGTGTGAGCTGCTGGGGTCCCACGGAGAAGCACTGCTTGGCCTGCAGAGAGCCCCTCCAGGTGCTGCGAGAAGGCAGCTGTGTGACCAGCTGTGGTGAAGGCTTTTACAACAGACAGGGCACCTGCAGCGGTAAGTGCTGGCTCCCAAGCCTCTCCCTTCCTTTTCCTCTTCCAGCATCCTTGTTGGATTCCAGTCACAGCTCCTGCAGCCAGTGCTACTTCTGTTCAACAAATATGCAAATCGTTACTGACACTGATGTTGTTTTAGTCATTTATAAGGCACAATCACCAGTGGGATCCCCTTTAAATGTCCTGACAGCTCTTTAGGGTTGGGGTGTTCATTCTAGCCTTTTCCTTAGATAAAGACAGTGAATTCCAGGCTGCCTGCCCAGGAGCCAGAGCTAAAGGGAAAGGACCAAGGCGTCCACTCACACCTTCCTTTTTTCAGGTCCCAAATCAACACCAGTGCCAACCTGCCTTCTAAATATACACAGGGACAGAGACCCATGCCAGCTCAGGGCACACTCACCTTTGGTGTTGGTGCCACTGGCTTACAACTGAAGCAGCTGTCGTCTTTTCTACCTTGAGCACCCGTGGCCTTAACAGTAACATAACACTAACCCAGCTCAGTGTCTTCTTTTTTGGGCAAGTTGGAAGGACTTTATAAATATCGACCCAGTGAGACACAGTCATGGTGGGGCACAGAGAGTGTGTGCCCTCCATATGGGAGGTCCATGTTCAGTTCCCCGAACATGCCAGATGAGGCAGTACGCTGTAATCCTGGCTAATTAGGATGCCGAGGCAGGAGTGTTGTGACATGGTGAGAACCTGTCAAAAATCTCTCTCTTTTTCTCTTGCTCTTTCTCTTTCAGAAGGGGAAGAAAAATAACTCATGAAGAGGTAGGAAGGTATAGGGAAAGGCATAGTTTGGGGCAAGTTCCTTCATCTGCCAGTTTCCCATCTTAAAATGGGGATCATAGTAGCATCTGTGATCAACAAAATAATGGCCTCCAAAGATAATTCCAGCATAGCTTATATCCTGATCCCCCAAAATAGCAATGTGTTACTTTGGATGGTAAAAAGTACTTTGTAGGGATGATTAAGTTGAGGATCTTGAAATGGGAATAATTTCTTAGATGATCTGGTTGAGCCCTGTGTAACCACAAAGGTCCTTATATGATGGAGGCTGAAAGGTCAAGTCAGAGAAGGAGATGTGAGACTGGAACCCAAAGTCAGAGTGATGGAGTGGTGCAAGGAAGGAGCCATGAGCATTCAGGCAGACTTTCATACCTGGAAAATGGCAAGAAAATGATTCATCATAGAGCTTCCAGAAGGAATGCAGCCCTGCTAACACCTTGATTTCTTTTTCTTTCTTTCTTTTTTTTTTTTTTTTTGAGATGTTTTTGTTATAGGGCGCGTGCGCTTGCGAGAAAGAGAGAGACAGAGAGATAGAAAGCGAGAAATCACCCCCCAGGGTGGATGGCCATGCCGCAATCCCTTCTCCTTAATTCTCTTCTCAGAATCTTGGGCACGCTTGCACACGCGGCCAGCATGAGTTTCAGCCACTGGGTCTGGGACTCGAACCATGGTTGACTACATGGGAATTCAACGACATAGCCATTATGCTAACTGCTGGTCCCCTGACACCTTGATTTTTAAGACTTCTGACATCTAAAATGGTAATAAATTTGTATTGTTTTAAGACAAAGAGTTTGTTTTAACTTGTTACAACAGCAATATGAAACTAATACATACTGAACTCAGAAGTCTATTGAGAATACTTAGTTAATGTATGCCAAACACTTAGAACAGGGCCTGGCACAGAGCAACTGTTAGATCAATATTTGGTGTTTAATCCTCACAACAATTTCATAAGATATTTTCATTCTCATTATCTAGATAAGGAAAGAGAGAAGGATAAGAATGTTACCTCAGGTCACACAGCTAATAAGGGGTAGAGTTGGAGTCAAGTTGGCTCTGGAGCTTACCTACCTTTGAACCACTGTGCTACTATTATATGGGCCTTATGCATTTCTGCTTACTTTTTTTTTTTTTCCTATTTTCCTTCTCTTTATCATTTCCTTCCTTCCTCCTCCTTCTTCCTTGGCTTCCTGTTAGTCTTTAGATGAGCTGGCTACTCTGGGGACATTGCTGGGTCTTCAGGTGGACATCCCCACAGTAAATGAAAGGTCTGAATTGAGTTGGCTGCAATGGTCACACCCCTAGAAAGCCATGATGGCTTCCTTCTCATAATTAAGTCCACTCAATCGATAAAGGTGTGCAGCCCATAAAACTTGTGTGAGTTCTTGTCCACATTTTGCTCACTGATCAGGGCAAGAGCACAAATGAGATGATCTTTGGGATTTGACAAATCCACTTGTCTCAGGAAAGAGAGCAAGCCCTGGCAGCTCCTTGCACCATGCTGTGCAGAGATTGATCAGCATTGCTGGTGTAAAAAAATCTCAGTCACTAGAATGAGTCACAGGTGTTTTTGTGTGGATTCAGGAGAGGAGGAAAGAAAGGCCAGGCTGCCATTAGCCTGAGCATGTTAATCTTTTCCTGCAGCATCACTACCCTGCTCAATTAAGTCAGATGTATTCTCTAAAGGTCGACAGATGTCAAATTTGCAATAATCCAAAGGCCTAAAGGCATTTACCCTTTACATCCCCAGGGAGGCTGGTTACTGTCACTGACAGAGCAAAAGTGACAAGGACTTGCTACTGAGACTCTACAGTATCTGGATCAGAAAGCTACTTTTCTGGGGCAGCAGTGTATATAAAAAGAAGGATAGTTAGTGGGACCCTTGAGGCGGTGAGAGGTAGGAATTTTCTTGGGCTTAGAGGCTGTTGAAGAAAGCCAGACCTCCTTGCAGACTAGAAGAACTGAAGGAGATTGCTTAACAGGTGGCTTAGGGAGAGAGTATACATCTGCAATGATATCTGTATACACTTTGAAAAGCATCAGAACAAAAATGTCCAGACTGGTGGATAGACCACAGCTGACTTTAATCAGCCGGCTAATCAATTGATCAACAAGTAATTACTGCACGCATACCATGTGCGTAGCACAATGCGAGAATTTGTGATGCGAGAGTTTGAGATTGGAATTAGCCATAAGGCCTTTTCAGAAATGAAGCTGGAGCTTCTAAAAGCTGAGCACTTTTCACAAAATCGTTAGACTTTGTATCAAATGGCTTCAGCAATGTTCACATAAATATTTTCTAAAACAACAGTGAACCAAGTCGCTGATTGGTATCGGAATGTTAATTAAGACATTGAGTTCTGATAAAGTTGACTTATTTCCAATTCAGATTAGTGTTTTTCATGATAAAGTCAGGCTGGTGTTGGTTTAATAATTTATAACCAACCAGCCCATATCTGTAGACATCTCAAAGTCAAGTGCTGAGAAAAATCCAGCATAGCCTGTTGTAAGTGGTCGTGTGCCCTGGCCAAATGAACTTCCAGTAACCCAGCTCATCTGTGGTACGTGTTCCAAGTTACACAAATACTAGATATGAAGGGTGGAGCTAATCAAAGGAAAAAGCTCCTCATTCTTTACTCGTGAAGTATTTGTGCTATAAGGAAGGGCTTTTCTGACTCTAGCTAACACAATAAATCAAAGCAAGTTCTGAAGTTCCTGTTAGCCATTCTTTGTTTCTCGTCTCCTCTTTTTCTTCCTGTCCTCTATTATTTTTTAGAGGTTTTTGCTATAGGGCGCGTACGCTTGTCAGAAAGACAGAGAGAGACAGAGAGACAGAAAGTAAGAAATCACCGCCCCCAGGGCTACAGCCACGTCGCAATCCCTTCTCCATTCTCCTCTCTGGATCTTGGGCACACAAGCACATGCGCCCGGTGTGAGTTTAAGCCACTGGGTCTGAGACTTGAACTGCGGTCGACTATGTAGAAGTCCAGTGACACAGCCATTATGCCAACTGCTGGTTCCCCTTTCCTCTTTTTTTTTTATCTTCCTTTTCCTTTTTTGCCCAAGCAACCATTTTAATTTTTAAAATCTTTTTGCTTTATGAGTTTATCTAAACTGGATATTTTTGTTTTGAGTGTACATATGGGGTGATGGAAGTCCTTCACAAAGTTCATGGAAAATACATATTATGAAAAAAACAATAAATGGATTTTGACTTTTGGGGCAACAGAATAAACTCATATTTTAATTCCATTTTTACAGGACCTTTCTGAAGTCCCTTGGTATATTTAATTTTCTCACATGATGTCATATGATCACATGTTCATGCTGTAGCCTTCTTTTCTTACTCAGCACTATATAATGTCAAAACTCCTCCATGATAGGCCACCCGGTAGTGTGTTGGTTAAGGCGGCGGGACCCCAGATGGCTGACTGTGCAGTTCAAGTTAGGGGACTCAGTGGCTTGAAAATCATGCCAGGCGCATGTGCATGTCCAAAATCCAGAGAAGAGAATGGAGGAGAAGGGATTGCAGCATGGGCACTCCATAGGAGTGGCTTTCTCATTTCCCTCTCTCTGTTTCTCTCTGGGGAGTCCATATGCTCTATAGCAAATTCAAAAAAAAGAAAAAAAAGTCTTCTCAGTGTTATGCCATCTAGTCCTTCCCTTCTCCCTCATGCCCAGGACTCACTGGTGGACTTCCCCACTTTTCACCCACGTTCTCTCCCAATGCCAGACACCTCTCCTCCCATCCCCAGGCCATTGCATCAGAAAACAATGTTACACATGTCACTGTATGAGCCTTGGTAACAGAGCCCTCGGGATCTGTACCCAGGAGCAAAACTGCTGGTTTCTTTACCCTGGAGAGGTTTTTGCTATAGGGCATGTGTGCTCGCCAGAAAGACAGAGAGACAGAGAGAAATCACCCCCAGGGGGGACGGCCACGCCGCAGTCCCTTCTCCTCCATTCTCCTCTCGGGATCTTGGGCATGCATGCACATGCACCCAGAGTGAGTTTAAGCCACTAGGTCCGGGACTCATACCGTGGTCAACCACATGAGAGTCCAGCGACGTAGCCATTATGTCATCTGCTGTACTAGTTTCTTTACTCCGCATGTTCTTTTTGTAACCAGCAGTGCAGGGTGCTCACCAGAGTTGCTGCTCAGTCTATACTCTCCAGCATGGGAGTTCTGTCATCTC